TTTCCCAGAATGGAAATGTAAAGTCAATTTTGCAAATTGACTCACTATTAACCACACAAATTTGTTTGAATAAATCTTATTTAATTAGTAATGAATGGCTTCCTGTTTTTAACAACTTCACATTCCATTTGAATCAGATGTTAGAGAAATAATGTAAACGAAACTAATAATATTTGCCAGACTACCATCTACACAGGTCGTTTCTTATTTGCTTAATTAAACACACATTTTGTTTGTGTACCTACTACCGTGATTAAGATGAAACATGGAAGTAATGCCTGTATTTCATTTATTTCTACTGTACAGCTTTTCACAAAATAACTTTATTTTATAATGAAACAATACAACAATGACCAAATTATCTCAACACAACACCTCGTCCGTCGTTTGTGGTCATTCTCTCTCTCTCCCGTGTCCCTGCCTTTCAGTCCGAATTTCCACGCCTTGGCCTTCACTTCTTATCGTTGTTTTATAAACAACGGACCCAGTCGAAATAATACCCTAACAGTACACATAAACGGCACAAATTTAATATAAAATACGAGATAAAATAGGAACCAAATTAAGTGTTTATGTATCCTTAACACTGATCAAAATTAAAATATCCAATTATGAATTGGATATTACAAAAACATTAAGAAAATCTCTTTTAAATCCTTGGTTTTATTAAAATATACTTTATAAAGGGTAAATGAAAAAATCCATGTGAAATATCATGTTATATGCATAAAATCGAGGAATATCTCCTAAATAATATCAATAAATACACAATTTTGTGCGAGCAGCTGCTTCCTGTAAAATTACAAAGAAATTGACCGCAGCAGCTGTTGGCCATGGCTCTTATTTAAAATTTAAACAGGTAGGAAAACTATTCAAAACATCTGCTCGTGGCACATGTTGAGGTTACTTCTTTTTAGCTTCATTTTAGGGTATTTTTGGACACACGAGATTACAGTTACACCTGGAATCCGTCAGAGGACGGTAAGAACATCGTCCTGCGAAAATCAGTTTGTCGTTAATACTGTCGTCTGTTTAAAAAAGTACGTTTCATAGATTTAAGTCAATGACTACCTATCTAGGCGAGCGGTTCACCCCTAAAAATGAAGTAACCGACTAAATTTTTAAAACAAAAACCTACATCATGAAACTTTTTTTATTTTGTAAAATGTATTTTTCTGATAATTTACATATTTTTTTTATTTTTCGGCGTTGTAAGTTGTAAAAAAATACTCGCCGAATAGCTTTGAAAACAGGACCAAAATAAACACTATTTGTTCTTTGACAAAAATTCGAAAAATGCTTCGTTTCCGAGATATTTACAATTTAATGTTAAAAAAGTGACGAAATCGACAAACTTTCGGAATTTTTTTCTCAAAAACTGACTGAAGAGAGTTTAATTCTAAAAAAAGCATAATAATCGGCAGATCTTCTACTTTAAGATATATTTTTTTGGTATACGTCAATTATTTTATTGAAGGTCTAAAGCGAGTAAAAAAACAGTCTTTTAAAGAAAATCATGATGATGAAACGCTTATTTCAACTCAAGAACTTGTCGAAAATAACGAAGAACTTATTATTTAAATATTAAATAAAAAAGGAATTGATATACTTTTATTGCACTTAATATTTTTGTAAAATAAAAATTAAATAATTATCCTATACAATAAATTATCCAATAACTTTCTTATTTTTCGAGACAGCTAGGTCAATTATTATTATTAGGTTAATTTTACGATTTAAAAAGCTTATTTAGTTTAGTTTTGGTATAACTTTCAAGTCAATTTTAGCCATTTATAAAACCAAAAATCGAATATTTAAATTTTACTAATTACTTGCAAAAACCTTACTCCAGCTACAAAACCAAACAAAATGATCTTTTGAACATTTATACTGTTAACATATATCGATTTAAAAAAAATCATTATAATGTTTATTGTAAATATAATCTAATCCAAGATATTGTAAAAAGAAAATTTAAATTTGAAATGTCATCATAATTTTCTTTAAGACTTTTTTTACTCGCTTTAAACTTTCAATAAAATGATTGACCCATGCCAAAAAAATATATCAAAGTAGAAAATCGATTATTATGTTTTTTTTAGAATTAAAATCTGATCAGTAGTTTTTGAGAAAAAAATTCCGAAAATTTTTCGATTTCGTCACTTTTTTCACATTAAATAGTAAATATCTCGGAAACGAAGCATTTTTCGAATTTTTGTCAAAGAACAAAAAGTGTTTATTTTAGTCCATTTTACGATAAAAAAAACAAGTAAAAAATATATTTTTTTAAACAATTGATCACGCCGAAAAATATTAAAAAAATATGTAAATTATCAGAAAAATACACTATAAAATAAAAAAGTTTCATGCTGTAGTTTTTTGTTTAAAAATTTAGTCGGTTCATGCCTTTTTTATAGGGGTGAACCGCTCGCCTAACCAGTATCGTCACTTAGGTTTGTATACAAGTAAATTTTTTGTAGTGTTCGCATCACACTTCATGTGCCTTACTTTTAGCGAAGTTAAAGCATAAGTACTCTGAAAATAAATCGCTGCAACTGTTTTTTTTTTTTTCGTGTAACTGTCATTATACCTACTTGCGTTGACCATGACATTCGCACTGTTTCGAGGAATATTGCGAGTTTACCTAGGAGGAAAGGAAATTTAAAAATAATCTTAAATAGTGACTAATTTTTAACGCTAACACTAACTGACAAACAAAGGAAAGTCCTCACACCGTTGGAGTTTTTTTAACGGATGAAGATATATGAGGGTAATTAAATAATTTCTACGAAATACTTCTTCGTCCTATTGAAGGTGCAGTCGCGATGGCGTTCCAGCACTTGAAAAGTCAAATGTCAGAAACTAGGTTAATTACCGGGATCATACCGATTGCGATACGGATGTCACCTAAGTGCATTAACTTTGCTCAATTGCTATAATTACCCCGCGTACGGTTCACGAGCTACCGCTGGCCCTGTTCCACGATTTTTTTTCGGTTCAACAAACTTAACTCGCTTCCAGAATGCACTATGCGATTTTTTATATGTCCTTGCAACGGTAATACTACTCTTTTTATATGTTTGTACCGTATATATAAAATAGTAGGTGATCTTGTCTCACTACCAAAAATTTGCCATTTTGTTGCATAATTGATTCGATATAAGCAATCTAGTTAGTTCAAACTGATCGAAGTCTGATCAAATCAGTTAATAATAAATCCCGTGTATTAAAAACTGTCTAAGACTTTCATCAACTGTAACTGTACCTGATGTTCAGGATGTTATTCATCATGTGAAATTAGAAAACAGTTGAGTTCAATTTTTTTTTAAATTCAACACCCTCTATCTTAAAATTAAAGTGTATTGATAAATTTTTATTAAAACTACTGCCACTAATTTTCATCCTAGAATTTAGTTGTTAAATTTGGCCCATTTTTTATCAGACATCCCGTATTTATGTACTTATATAATGCAGTTCTGTTATGTTTTCAAAATAAAGGTTACTAATGACGTAATTTTTCTTCGCTTATATTAAAAAAGTTTGTTTTTGGTTACTTTTTAATATTTTGAGTTCAATCTCTGCACTTTCATAATGCACTGACAAATTTAGGTATGCAATAACTATTTTTTTTTGTGGACAGATTTTGAATTTGTTCGAGGATTGAGACGACGTGGGAGTGTGTTTAACATTAATTGTCATTATTTGTCATTAACAATTACACGGGTTAGCAACGTGTGTTTGTGTTTCGAATTGCTTGCGTACAAATTCGGTTGTTGCAAGTTAACGTTTATTTCGTCGACAGTTTCATCGTGGATTTTTTTTGTCGCAATATTACCATCAATAAACCTGATACCATGCTAAAATAGTGGTGGAAAAATAATCGAAATTGTTCATTGTCAGCCGCATCGTATAATAAAAATACCCAGTACAGCATCTGTAAGAACTCCCAACCCAATAAAATCGCTTTACATCAAGGTATTTTATTTTTTTTTAAATAATATATGAATGTGTGAGATGAACTGACGAACGAAACAAAGCACGAACTACCTAAGTCCTGAATCCCCCACTACCTCAGTGTCTTATTTACTCACCGAAGGGTCAAATTGTTATTATGATTACGTTTTATTTAAATCTTTTTGTGGACACGGATGATTCAGTCATACTGCCATTCATTTTAACCTCTATTCGGAAGGACGATTAATAAAGACAGAAATATCGAAAAAAAAATTTTACTCAGCCTTTTAAAAAATAAGTAAATTATCCCTTACCCAGTCGTCTTGAATTTTACAATTGGCTTCAAAATCAAAGTGCTGCGGAATCCAACTTTATTAACAAAGAACTCTGGACCGACGAGTGACTGTTATTTTTTAACCGTACTTTCGTTGTAAATACGTACTACAAACTGAATAATTAATTGAACATAATACGAAAAACTCAAACTAAAGCATAGTGAAAACCTGTAATAACCTAACATCCGAAAACAATTATGTAGTATCATTATCTATTTCTTTTTATTAACGAATAAATAATACTTGTCGATATTTAAGAAGTAAAAAAAGTATCTTATTTATTCATGTGTCTGTGTATTCGTTGTCGTTCACTATGGATTAAAAACGCAATAAAAGCTAGATTAATGACCGAATATTACGCGTCAAGGTTCACTCTTGATAAACGCTTGTGGGTTAGCGGTCAGGAAAGGTGTTTTAATAATGATTTTTTTCCGTAAATATGCATTTAAAATTTTTTTAATCCCGTACTATTCGTATTCTACTAATTTTCCCTATACCCCCTTAAAATTCATGACAGTATGGCTGAATCACCCTGTATAAAAACCAATTTGTAATTGGGCTTGGTATGAATTATAGTTTTGTACTGTTACTGAAATTCTCTCTTCCGATTATAATTCATTAAATAGAGCCTACTTCTTATAAATATTCAATATCTTTACCAACTCATAAAAATTACATTGAATTAATCAGTCTTTCTCTTTTTGCTTTCAGGAGGACCACTGTCGCAAAAAATCGACACAAATGGTAAGTGATTATGAATTTTTAAACTTTAATATTCCTAGTACCGCATAATTGACAGAAGTTATTGGAAAGGAACACAATAACGTCTTCCATCATTCATTTATTTCATAAGCATTTACCTGGGATTGGGCAAATCGTTTTCGTAGAACATATATAATTTGTTGCGTTCTTCCGTTTCAAATTGGAAAGCTTTTGAGGACGTTGTTGGTGTTAACGATTACATATAACCACTTAGTCGGCGTTACCATTCTTTTGTTGATTCCTATGACTTGCGTATTCGTACTCGGAAATGATGCATTTGTATGAGCAAAAATGGGACGTTTTCATATTGATGTGTGGGGGAGGGACACTTATTCCTTGTAATTGAATTGGTGGAAGTAACAGGGTTGTCCTAGTTGCTCTAAATGTACGGTTCAACACTTTAACCCTAATCATTTCCAACCAACCAAACGTAAAGTTTTAATTTTTCTAAAAGTAAAAGAAAACTATAATTTTATTTTTGTATAACGTTGAATGTTGGTTATATTTATAAGGAGGCTACTTTTTGAAACGCAACATCCTATTTTTTGCATATCTATACAGGTTGTTCCAGAATATGAGACGTTAAAATAACATGACAAGTTCCTATAAAAATTTTCGCTAGAGGGCCCTAAAGGACGGCCCTGAAATTTTTTTTTTAATAACTTAAAATACTTTGTATAATTTAATTATTTTTAGAAAAAAAGATAAGTGACATTTTTTAGATACGCGCAGAAATAATGCAAATTTCATCGGTTTATTCCTCTTTACGGATGTAATAAAAATCATATTAAACAAAAATTGTTTTTTCTCGAAAACTGTTCATTTTATCGATATCAACCTGCCTTTTATTAGTTCTGGTTTAAGCCATTTAAAAATATTTTTGTGCCTTTATCCAGGATTCCCAGCGACCCTGGAAAACCTGGAAAAGTTAGGGAATTGAGAAACTGACCCTGGATTTCAGGGAATTTGATGCAAAATACCAAAAAGTCCTGGCATTTGCACCTTCCTACCTCTCACGAAACAGAAATTTCGCGGTGGCATCTAATGTAATCGAATGCGCCCTATTCGTTTAGTGCTAGTGCAGTGAGTTGTAGAGAAGTATGGCCACAGATTTTCTATGGCCACAGAGTATATATACTGTGGTATGGCTTTCACTTGCGTATGCTACATATTTAATTTTGTGGTTATGTGAATGTGATTATTTCTTTTATGACCATCCATTAAAGGGATTTGGGTTTTTTGATAGAATATAATACAAATTGATGTGATCTTAAAATAATACTAGTACATTTATAATAAAGATTTTTCTTATATTCTTATATATATTTTCTTGTGTTTGCCAAATAAGTACATGCTTATAAAAATGTTTTATAAATTATTTTTTTGTGTATAATATTTTTTTAAAAACTTAAGGGAAACCAAGGACATTTAAATAAAGGGGACTTATTTATTTACATTTCTAGATGAAGCCTGGTCTATTCACAGTCTAATTGTATCATTGTTGGCAGCTGTATAATTATACTGGAAATATACTTAATATTTTTATCGCAATTTTCATCACAATTGTGAAAATTATTATTATAGGATAGTATTATTAAGTTATGCATACAATATTGTTAAATTCTGTACATTTTAAACTATTTTTCATTTTTCATATTTGCCATGTTTGAAGACTTGGCAACTACGCAATAATTTGTAGCGTGTTCCTCGTTCGTTCTGCCGTGGTTGGCAGAATATGGCGTCTCTTGTTAGAAAATAGTTGTGATTTTAGTAAATGAAACGTGATTAGTGTTTATACATGTATTTTGGATAAACTTTTAAGGTGTGAATATGGTTAGACAGTGCAGAATTTGTAAGAAATTGGATTATAAACATACACATCAGCTATCCTTCCACAGGTAAGCGTACTTGAAGGTGACTTTGGAATGTATATGCAACTGTGGACATTGTCGTGCGTGTGGGTAACTTTTATTTGAATAACGGTAAAATTTTATAAAACTGACTTGGTATATTTTTTAAATTTTTGCTGAAATAGTAAGAAAACAATAATATGAACCACGTTTGGTCATTAAAATCAAAGGAAAATGCTGCACCACAAATAAGTTACAGACAGTATTTATATTTAATATATTTATAGGTATTTCAATGTTATCCCTTATACCCAACATTATAAATTTTAATCATTCATCATTTTCATTTTCCTCTATGGCAAAAACCTTTTAAAAAATATATTTACGATTTTACTAAATGCACGAGCATAAAAACTGAATAAATACAACAGCAAAAATATGGTGGTGGTTCACTTATACATAAAAATACCGAAGATGCAATCAACTGAAAGTTGCATTCATTCAACCATTTGATGTTCTCCTTTGGGAATATATTTCTATGTCTCACTGAAAATTTGCCTCAGTATTCTAAATGTGAACGTTCTCTAGGGTGCTTGGGGATGGTGCAACAAGAAAGAAATGGTTACAGTTATTGGGATTCCAAGAAGTTATAAAAATATTATATATATTTATTATAAAAATACTGAGTAGCTGTTGAAATATATTGACTTAAGGACTATAAAATACTTTATTTTGACCCATCCAAAATGTACGACATTGGAGATGTAATCGCGCGCATCATTTGGATGAAAATAAAGCCCTCTGCTTTCCCCTTGTCTAGCTTCACCCAACATATGAGATAGACTGTGACATGCATAGTCCCCTTTATTTATATGTCCTTGAGGGAAACCTATTTTTGAAGAACTTATTTCATATCAGAGGTCAGGGGAAACATTCATCTTTAGGTATGGAAAACCCTGGAAAGTCAGGGAATTCAAGTTTTCAAAAGCACTGGGAATCCTGTATCGTAAAGGGTGTAAAAATTGACATTACTGTGCCACAGCTAGTCTGTCCTTGGCAAACCAAATATGCCTAATTGTTTTCATGGGTCAATTTTTAAGGAGTTTTATCTGTTGTACATCGTATTAAAAAATAATTAAGTATTTTAATAGTTATTTAAAAAAATCGATTTGCAGGTGCGTTCTTTAGGGGCCTGTATCTTCGTAGGGGGTGGGGGTACCCTCTGTATATAATTTTTTTTATTTACTGGAGATATCTTGTTTTATTTTCATTTTTTAACTCCCTATTAGAAAATTAAATACAGCTTTGAAAATAAGGGCATCTCCCGCTGCCCTTTACTTAATCTAAACTGACATTTAATTATAGTTTTACGGCTAATTACACACAGCGTGAGCCTCCGGACCGAATTTAATTAAGGCAGAGGGCATTTAATTGTATTAATTTTAATTTACTTTTAGTGCTAGATATGGCAGCAAAAAATAACCCGTTAGCCGTGGGTGTGGATCGTGCGTGTTTACCTTTTCTCGCAACTATTGTATCGCATTGCAAAATGTTGCCGCCTTTCACAAACTTAGGAGTCAATAGAATTGTATTTGCTGCGTATTTACCCGTTTGAAGAATCAGTGGTGAATGAAATACAAAAAATGAAGGTATATTTAGAAATATTTATATTGTACTTTCACATTGAAAAGAAAGTTAATGAATTTTTTAATTTAATATTTTTTTATGTTTTTTAACTTCACAATATACAGGGTAGGCCAAAAGTACCGAAATGGCAGGATATTTGGGAATATTCAAGGGATAGGGCAAAAGTAAAGTCCTAGGGGTTTAGGATTTTTCCCTGGCTATCTCTTTGGTGACCTGGAATTTGATCTGGATCATGACCTTCAAGGTTATGTCAAGGTCACGAGATTTTTTTTAAAACGAGACCCCATAACTTTGACCCGAGAAATGGAGAGAGCGGAAAATTTATCGTTCGGATATGACCTTGAAATGACTATGAAGGTCAAGATCAAGATCAAATATCAAAAAGTCTCAAAATGGCTTAACAGTACCGGAATGGCATAATAACCCGCCAGGAAAAATTATTAAATTTGTAGAATGTTATGCATTGAATAAACAGTAGTTTAAAGTTATTTTTTACTCTATACTTTATACAGGATTTACTATAGAAAACTGCCTTCGGAGCATTTTTTATTTTTTACCTTAATAAAAAAAGTTTCCTATAAACGTTTTTTGTTAAAAAATTTTAGAAAAAACATCCCATATGCGACGTTTAAATGTGAAATTATATATTTTTGAAATGGAACGACCTGTCATTTTTACATTTTTCAAACATTTTTAAGACTTTTAAACTTCAACAATATGAATACGTCATACTTATATTTGCTTCAGTCTTTTAATGTTATTGCTCGTAAATTTAAATTACGTTTTTGAAACCTTAAAACTTTTATAGAAACTTTTCCTAAAGCCACACATAAAAAGTTATAGTCTTTCCGAAGTCAGTTGAACATGTATAAAAACGCCTAGCAATAATATTTAATGATTTTCATAGGCGCCCCTAAAAAAAGTTTTCTGCTAAAGGTAAAAAGTTACAATAATTTGTATGTAATGTGTAGAAAATTTCTATTATATGTTCATTTGGGCAACAAAATATTTTAATTATTTATGTCCTCAAACAATATATTGGTGGTAAATTTCGTTTTGTTCCGTTTCAAAAGGTCTTCAAAATGCCATGTTGTAATAGTATTAGTAAACAAAATATCCCCCTTATTTCTCCCTTTCGCAATTGTAATATGAATGATTGATAGAGGGTGCCTATAATAAATTAAAATTACCTGAATCACACCAAATTCCGCATTGCTGCACTGCACTGCTGGACAATTTATCAACCACCTGTCATCTGCTGTGATTTATTGCACAGTAGCCCAATGCAACTGTGATCGTTTTCCTTTGCCTGCGTTCGCATTCTTCAACTGAGCGTATACATTTCTATCACCACGTTTAGTTCGACTAGACCTGTATATGGGTATGGCTAAATAAATATGGGAACAAGTTTTTCAAATATCTATTTCAATGTCAAGTGGCTGCGTCAGCGACCGCACCTGGTACATACTATCAATATGTTGGTTC